GTTAATGTTGAAAGAGCTTTCTACACGGTGGTACGAATGATAAGGCATAGCAGAGAAGGCGGAGGAGGTAATAAAAAGGGTAGAAAGAGAACGCGATGTTTAATCTTATGAGATACAGCACTCGAGTTGGACATTCTTCAGTATTTGCATATTAATGTACTACTAAAAATTGTATTTAAAAATGGGAGACAAAAAAATTTCATTTTTTGCTAAAAAAGAACCTTTGACGACGTTAATCAACCAACAAGATATTATAATCCAAGTAATATATATATATATATATATATATAATATAATAGTGATGATAATAATAATTTAATAATGTCTTGTTTAATATAATTTTAATTATCGTTTTTAGTTTTTACTTTTTAATATTTTAATTATTTTTTTTTAGTTTATTATTATTATTATTTATTATATTTATATATATATATTTATATATATATATATATCAATATAATAATATTTATAAAAAGTCATTCGTTAAAAATTAAAAAAAACTTTAATAACACTACCTATATTAATTAGTTAATTACAACCAAGGGAATTTGAACACACATTTTCAAAAAATCAAAAAAAAAAAATATCAAAAAATCAATAATCCAATAATCAAAAATCAAAAAAAAATCAAAAAAAAAAAATTTATATAACAAAACTTTTTTGACTTTTTTTTTTGTTCAAAAAAAAAGAATTTTTTTAATTTTTTAAGTTAAATTTAAATTTTTATATTTCATATTACATATATTTAAAATTTTTTATACTGGTTTTTTTATTATATTTTTATTAAATTATCATCATTATTATTATTATCATTATTATTAATTTTTAGCATTGTCAAAAGATTAAAGGAATTATTAATTAGTGATAGTAAATTAATTATTGATTTTTGAGAATATAATATATGTAATATAAATATAAATATCTTTGTTTATTAACATCAATATTATAATTTTTGTTTACGCGACATAATTGTTTTTTATTTTACGCGATTTTTAGTTTTTTTTTTTTTATATATCGCTTGCTATTACTACTATATTACTATTACAATTACTATTACAATTACTATTACTATACTATTTTATTCATTTTTTTTCCAAGTTCAATTCTTTCTCATACCACCTTTTTACCACCTTTTATACATCATCTCTACAATTTCCTAATCATAACCATTATTATCTATTATTATTTTCTAAATTCCCATTTTTAATTCTTAATTAAATTAATTTTATTTTTCTCTTTTCAAAAAAAAAAAAGAGAAAAAGACTTGTAAACGTGAATTTAATTTTCTTTCTAATTTTTTTTTCAAACATTTTCTCTATTAATTAAACATTACATTGTTTAAGAGATAAATAAATAAATAAACACAAAAAAAGATTGTGAGTTAAATAACGGATAAAAAAAAAACATATTTTGAGTAAATTCTTTTATGGTAAATAAATATTTAGTGCAAGGTAGTGAATATAAAATCACCGGCGATTTTTCGTCAAATTAAATCATTGAAACCCTTCATGATTTAAATTATTAATCAAAAAGAATCGGAAAAAAGGAATGCTAATAAGTGGATTTCAAATTCTTCGTCTTTATTAATAATTAATAAAAATGTAGTGTAACTTTAAATATCAAGGCTAAAAGAATTGGTTGGATTGTTGATAAAGAAACAACATATAGTAGATTGACACGAATCTATTTTTTGTACACACATGAATAACTTATGAAAGCTGGTGGCGGGAAACCACTACTAATAAATTCATATATATCGTCAGTCGGCATAATTTGGAAAAGAAAGGCAAGGTTCTACATTAATCGAGATACTGTTCATTGGCTTCATTGGCTAAATTTTCATTGATCTTTATTTCGCATTATGGTTTGTCGTGCCCCCATACAAAAATCCTCCATATAAGAATATCAGATAAAACCTTGAACACATATCGAGAACCAATTACTATAGAGCTTGTAGAAAACACCTCCGTTTAATAACAAGAACAACCCCTCTTTATAAGAACATTTTTAGAATGTTACTATTACTATACATGGTTCTCCTTGTAATACCCTTACAAAAAAATTACCTGTTTTTTCAAGTGTTGAAAGAATATAACAATGGTTTCTAATATGTGCATTTTGGGAAGACTACAGTATTTTATACTTGCTACAGTCAATGCTTACAAAAACTTTTTTAGCTGTGAAGATCCAATTCGATGATGATCATCCTCCTCTAATCTGTCTGTACAAGAACTATGGTGCAGGTCTCTAAAAGGCATCAAAAAAAAATTGTGCAACTTCAAACCACTAAGACTTTTTTTTAATTAATAAAAATTGAAAAAAAAAACTCTCTATTTTTGTAATCTTTAGAACCTAACCAACAATGAAATAGAGTGTTTTTTTTCAATTTTATTAATAAAAAAAGAGTGGTTTGAAATTTGGTACTAGATGATATTTTCTAATTAGTGAAAGATTGTCTAAGCACGTGATCAGAACAATAAAATTCCACCGTAATATTTTTTCGTAAACAATACATTACTACAAATTTGCATTCTTCTAATTAAAAAAATTCCAAGACGAGATAAGAACACTTCACGTTTAGAAAAGGTTAGAAATGTTAAAAAACAAATCAGATAACGAATTGGATAAAGTATCAAGTGAAGAAAACTCTGGGAATTGATTATACAAATTATTTGGATTATTCTTTTTGTTCGTTTATTCGAATTATTCATTTTACTCGAATTATTAGCTTTATTCGTTTGTTCGAGTTATTAGCTTTATTCGTTTGTTTGAATTATTCGTTTTATTGTTTGTTCGAATTATTTGTTTGTTCGTTTTGTTAATTTATTCGAATTCTATATTTGTTTTATTCGTTTTATTCGTTTTATATATTTACCCTACATAACTCTTCGTTAATTAATAACTGATAAAGGGAAACCTTAATTATAGAGATACATCTCAAGGGACGCCATTGGGATATAATTAGTTAAATAAAGAAGGGGTATTTTAACCATGGCAAGTAGTCCGCAAGATAAAAGAAATTTTGATCGTAAGTCAGCGAGTTTTATTCGTTTATTCGAGTAAAAATTTATTTGAATAAACTTATAACGTAATTCCTAATACTTGACGATTTTATAATCTTAAAAGAGTATCATTGCTATTTTTGGATTAGCAGTGTGACGCAGCATTTAATATCTTTAGATGGCGCGCACTATAACTGAATATGATATGATTTAACAAAGAGCATTTGAATTTATTTGTTTTATTTTAAGAATTTAAAATTACAAGCCTGTTTTTGAGTTTAGAACACAAGCCTTCTTGTCACGGAATTTTTATATTAATACTAATATTATATAATGTCGCAACTTCCAATTATAAACTCATCACACTATTCATTTTAGATAATTTGAAAAATTATAAAATCCAAATAAAATATATGAAATCAATTATAAAATAAATAAATTTAACTAAAATTAATCATAAATAAAAATATAAATTTTATAATTGCAAAATGAATACTCAACAACAACCAAATCAAGGTCACCCAATCCAACCAATTCAAATTTCCAATAAACATCTTTTTCAAGAACAAACTATCAATCAACGAGTTCAAAATCTGTCTCAGCAAAAATCTTTCTCATCAACAACAGCAACTTCAGCAACTTCAACATTATGCCCAACACATTCACCAATGAATTCAGAGAGTTATGGACAATATAATCAAGATAGTGACAACAATAACAATATGATGACGACTCAAGCTTTACTGCAGTGGTTGCTTTATAACCCGTTCACGTCATTACCTGCAATTTATGATAATTTAAATTTAAATCTTGATAAATTATTATGTTGTTTGTTATATTGATTGATTATGGTTCTTTATAAAATCCATCAAAGAGAAACATTACTCAATCAGAGAATAAATTCATTGCTTTGTCCAGTAATCATCCTTTAATTCTGATTGTTTGTTGATGATCAAAGACTCTAATATGACAATGAATCAACAATATGCAGAATTGGAACAAGATTTCCTTAGATTAATACGCAGATATGATTAATACTACATAGGTAAACTCGATAAGTCATCAAAACACGTGATTTTTTCATCTATTATAAATTTTTGAACTATATGCATATTTTGTGCGACGTGATTTTACTTGGTGTTTATTATAGAAAAGATCATCACGGAAATTAAACTCCTGGCCTTTTCTAATGTTTGAGTTTCGGAAAGCCACTTTAATAGAGAGATGTCTCGTTTTTAAAGAATTAATTTGTTTTCTATCAATTTTTCTCTCAATCCTGAAACAAATGGACCATTTCACTACAAGTAATAAAGCAAATGGATTTATTGAAAATTTTCATTCGTACTACCAAAATCATGTGAATCCACTTAATTACTTCAGCTTAACAAAAGGGCCGAAATTGCCGAAATTAATTGGCCTAAACTTTGACGAAACAAAATTTAATGACTGAAATTGGGAGTTTTTTAAAATAAAGCAGATTGATTTAGATACTTATTATATGTATTGGACGAAACTACCTTTTTTCAAAAACAGTTTCGGCTACCATCACTAAATAATATCTTTTTCGATTAAAATTTAAATATACACAATCTTGGTTTAGCAGATAGTTTGGGCAATTAATAATTTTTTTCCAAAAATTCGTTGTTATTATATTCAAACCTTGTCATAACGGACTATAATAATAATTAAAAATTTTGCTTCACATATAAAAACATATAAAATTTTTTTCTTATTATTATCTGTCCCGTCTATCCGTTGTGACTATATCAAGAAATCGGTTATATTGAGAAGAATTTTATAATAACAATTATTATTATTAAACTCAATCTGTTATTATCCATTAAATTGAGGTACACTACATTGAGGTTCACTGTATTTAACATGACATTAGGAAAAATTTAGGAATCGAATTGATTCGAATTGAGCCACAAATCAAATCGAATCGAATCTAAAATTCGATTCGAATTGATTCGTTCGGAGCCTTAAATACAATTCACTCAACCATTCATTCCTACATGTGACTTGTTCATTATAGAAAATGAACTGCAGGTGAAGATTAGAAATTTTATTTACATATGTATATTCTGTTAGTGTAAATTATTTTTTTCGGCCAATATTTTCTCGGCTCAAAGGTTCATCCCAAAAAAACATTTTCAAATAAAAACTTTCTTTTATATAATTTTGCCAAGTATTTAATAAAATTAATAAATATTCGAAATAAAATTTTATCGGAATTATATAAACCAAATAGCCATATAGATAGATTTTTTATTATATTAATATAGTTATAAAAAAATCCACATTTTCTATATGCAACAAAACAATTATTTTTGTTTTCAATTCAACACCCAAATTTTACAAAAAATTCAAAAAAAAATTTTTTTAATAATTTATTTATTCATTAATCCTCAAGTGGTGGTTCGCCAATCAACGTTAGAAATTTACCGGGATATTATATGTTAAAATTTAGCCGTGTTTTTTACCTGAAGATCTACTTTGTTAATACTTTATTAATATAAAAAATTACACAAATTTTTATAGCATGATAATAAACGCATTAACCCATTTTATTGGAAAATCGATAAATATGGAAGGAGTTACATGCATCAAAACTTAGCTACATGTATACAAAACTTTATAATTTCACATTTTTCTTTTTGTTTTTATTATTTTCTTTTTATTTCCAAATCTTTTATTTGAAATTCAATTTAAGGTTGAGAAGTTTTTCATAGTTAATTAAAAAAAATAAATTATATAATTTTTATTAGTTTTGCTGCTAATTCCGTGGCCCTACTGGCTTGAGGTATTATCATTATCACACTCATATCGTATTTCAGTTTCTTAATTAATGGGAACAATCGTGTGAAGCTATTAGTTGCAAATTGATTATATGGGAAAGATATTGTAACTAGTTTTGTTTTAAGCTTGAATGAACGGCAATTATAATTATAATTCATATATCAACGAAACATGACTGCCCATAAAAACATAACATAATACGTTAACTTCTAACCAACTATCATTAATAAATGCAATTATCATTATTAATTACATTATATAAATTAAAATCTATTTTAATAACGTTTCGTTTACTAAGCCTTCCACAATCTACACTAGAAAAGGAATTGAATTGAATACACTATTTCCATAAGTTTTAAGATATTTGGGTAATTGTATTACCATATAATACTGAATTTTGATGCAACAGTTTAAAACCAAACCATTATTCTCAAACAGTAACATAAACTGTAAGATTCATAGGACAATAAGAATTGAAGCTTAAGTTTGAATGATTGTTAAAATGATAACAGAAATTCATTTTTTAAATAATTACCTATAAAATAATATTAGACCAATGGTAGCTCATTTCCCAGGTCAGCTATTTTATGTGTAAAGCAATAATAACTTTTTTTAAATATAGAATTCAACAAAATAATATTTTCAGCAATAATCAATAATTTTGTTCCAATGAAAGAAATATATGGTGTTTGCACATTGTGATTTTTTTAAACAATAAAAAAGTGTTGGTGGCAAATTTTCATTATTTTGAAACTATGCATAAAATAACTTGGCATTATGGATGTTGCATTAATGCATCCAAGTTTCACTTCTTTTTATTTTTAATACAACGTCATACTACCATAATATTACGTTCATAAGTTTTTAATATGTAATTTTGTAATATTTGCATGAAACTCATGTAATATTTATATTGAATGTAATATAATTTTCGTTTGGTTTTTGCATAGTATTATGGGGCCCGACATAAAATCACGTAAGTAGTGTAATAAATTATGTAAATTCGTGTCCCTGATGCAACAGTTAAAGAAAATGATCAGATGTTGATTTTGTCAAGATAAGTAGCAGATTAGGTGAAAAACTGAAAAAAGAGTTTCCTAAACTACCATCCTTGCCTTCTTTTACAACCAGGGTATGTCCACAGAAAGAGAGAGTACCATTGTCCTTTTGAAGATGTTACCCTTCAAGAAGCCAGTTTCTGTTAGGTTGAAGAATTATTTGATGAAGATATTATCAATGAGAATTTAAAGTTATCCCATGTCACCACCGATCCAATTTACAAACACAACCTAAATCGTCATTATTATTATCGAATAATGAAGCAAATCAGAAAAAATTATCCAATGATAATGACAATATGCAAGTATATCCTGAGCCAAGTTTAATTGACCCCGCTACTTTCTTCATCTTCTTTCAAAAAATCAATGAGAATTTCCATGTCGTGATCGATTTTTCCCAGTTTAGGAGTAAAAGAGATTAAATAATAAGCTCAAATGAGACCGTAATGACATTGCGAATAATTTTTCAATCACATCAGTCTCACCGTCGATACTTTTGTTAGAACAACTAAATCGTCATTATTATCAATTAATGAAATAGCTGTTGAAAAATCATCCGATGATAACCATAATATACTTTCTGAGTCAAGTTCAACTATTCATCCTCACATTCATCTTCAAATAATCAAGTTGTTGCAAAAGAAAAATTGGTTGATAACAAAAACTCACGAGTGCTAACTGAAGCCAAGTTATCAATAAATAATGAAACTGTAGTCAGGTCACGAGTTTTATCAGAGTTGGCCCAATTAATAATTCTAATTTTTTATCATCATCCTTGTTGTCAAATTGTGAAGATTTGGAAGAAAAAACGTTAAATATTAAACTACAACAGTCAAATATCATCAGAAACCAATCCAAGTAATAATAATAATAATGCTTCATCCTCATCATTTTGGTAGCCAAATAGTGAATTCGGGAAGGCAAAATATTAATATCAACTATAATAGTCAAATATTATCAGAGATCAGCCCAAGTAATAATCATGCTTTATCTTATCGTCAAGTTGTAAAGGTGCAGATAGTTGCGGTAAAAAATATGTCGAAAAAAAGCATTATATTTAAGAGGGTATCCTCACCGTCGCATGACTGAAAGATACGCACTTGCTCAATATTTGTTACGGCGGTGATCTCATCAGGTGTTTGTTCTGAGATGATAATGGCAATCAAGGATTTGCATAGAATGGAAATTCGTTTATATTTAGTTTTTTTTTCTTCTCCAATAAATATTTTATTATAGTTTAAGCCTGAGAATATTCTTGTTGGCGATGATGGTCATATTCTCGTAACAGATTTTGGCCTTGTAAAGAAATTAACTGGAGGTTATGAGAGAGCAAAAGCGTTTTACGGAACTCTTGATTATATTGTAATAATTATATTTGATTTTCTTTTTTTTTCATATTAATTAATTATTTTTAAAACTAAGCACCAGAACTGATAAAAGGATATAATGTTAGTTACCAGGCAGATCGGCAAAGCTTGGGAATAATCATCTAAGAAATGTTAACAGGAAACGTAAGTATCATTAATTGTGTTATAATATTACTTGGATCATACTAAGATTAATTTGATTTAAAATAATTTATTATTCTAATCATAATATAGATACCATTTGGCGGTAACAGCAACTTATATAATAACGCTTTATATATAAGACCAATTGATATTTCCTGGTAAAGATTTGGTGATTGGATTAAGCAAGAAAGAGGGATCAATTTTTCTGTTATTATTAACATTACCATGACGCTTATTTATAATTAATTATTTAAATAAATGTAGCTCTTTCGGAAGGCCCAGTTACTTCGATTAGGGAGTATATAAGAATTGTGGGCCTGACAAAAATAAAGAAATATTCTGAGATGCTAATGATTTTGACTTGAACTCCAATAATGAAGAAGCCGAGTTGTCATTAAGACCAGACTGATTTACTCCTAAGAGATGATTAATCGATCAAGAAATAGACTGAGCCTTTAAAATGCATCTGTTAACTGGGGACGACGTGTACAACAAGCTCCTTATATTCCTATAAGGGATAGCATTTTAGAGAATTTCGAAAAATTTTTTTTTAAACATGCAGCAAGATTAATCGAACTTGAATACCTCGGCCATGATATGCATGTTCATTTGAAGGACAAGTACTGCTTTGTAAATTCTATGAATAAATTCTTTATGATTAATAGTAACATTTACTAGCAACTGCACATGTTGTCAATAATCATGGATGTTAAATGGTCCGCCCAGTATTTTTTACCCATTTAATAATTTATTATTTATATAATTATATATATATATATATATATGGTAAAATGAATATATAGTAAAGATTTATTTTATTTATGCAAAAAAGGAAATGAAAATAATTATATCGTATCGGAATTAGATTAATAATATTTATAAAAAAGGTTGAACCGGATCGGACCGAACAGCCGTAGTTCTTTCGGCACAGTCCAAAAAGACGGGGCAAGCCTTATTGGTGAAATACTGACCTGCTCCAAAGATGGACTGTCAATAAAATTTTAATGCTTTAAAGGCGCTGTTGTAGGTAACACAAGAAATCAGACGGACCTATCCACCCATCCTAAAGATATAGATTAAAGTTTTTGTGTGAGAGTGATTTGGAAGCTTGTTATTATCAAATGTTGAAATTTCTTTCAATATTTATTATTGTAACTATAACGATTATTACAGTGCCAAGGACCAATTTAATCAACAAGAATATGAACGAGATTACTATTTAAAAAAAAAACATCGCTAAATGAAACGTTATTTTATTTTTTTTTGATTTGTCACATTGATAAGTCAATTATAAATCAAGATATTGATTGGTGATATATATTTTTTATGATCACTTATAAATAACATGATAATGTTTTTTTTTAAGCTTACGATAAAAACTGCCAAAAATAGAAAACTTTGATATATAGATTAATTAATTAATAACCATATATATAAAGATAATAAGATAAGACAAAGATCCCTTATCATAATGACGAAATTTATTTTCAAAGTTACACTTTACTAAATATAAAGAATCGATTGATTGATTGAGTTTTCATTCATGTACAATTTATAATCACATTAACCAAAATATCCGATGAAATTTATTATAAAAAATTTAATTTTTAATGGTTGGTGGTGGGTGGTGAATTAATTGATTTACACAATAATTTATTTAATAAATGTCATTTTCATACATAATAATCATTAAAATAAAAATCATTAAAAAGTTAATCAACGAATGTACTATAAGCGTGCACATATATGCACGGACACTAAATATTTATTTATTTGGAAGTAATTAATTCCTATTTTTCAATTTTGTCGAACAAAAGCATCATTCTATGACAATATTTAAAAATAATATTATTTTAACAACAATATTAACGATAGCCACAAATTTCTCCGCATCCTTCATTCCAGTATTTCAAAACAAGTTGATCGGATCGAGAAGGGAATTCACAAAAATGTATGAAATTTTGTTTGTAGACCAAATTTGTCTATATCTCCCTAATTATTATTATGAATATGGAATTCTCCGAATATTTTTCATAGATATGATCTCTTTGAAGAAGAGTACTAAACTTCACTCGGCAAAACAGACGTATCTATTTTTTATATTAAGCATGGGTTAGGATTTTAATATAAATACGATGAATAATGAATTTAGAACCAGTATATAAGATTCTTCGAATTATTTCAAAATGTTACACGAAATAGTAATATATTTTTAAACTAGTTTCTAAATTCCAAGTTATTATAACTATTATAAAATGAATATTTTTGTATAATAACTATATATATATTTTGTATATAACCGTTTAAAGCTTAGCATTTTTCATCGAAAACGATTTTAATAATAACAATTTTTTTATTAATATTTTTTTTTAATATTTAAAAACGAAAATCGTTTTTTGTTACTACATGCCATGACATTCAAAATTTAGATTAGCGCGTCTTATATGGGTTCCCAAAATTGGACGACTATTAATTATCCCGTAGGATTTACAACAATGTACACATTATAATTATCCGAAAATTAAAAATTAAAACCATAATTCCGTAAATAAATAATAATAATAAATAATCTTATGAGTCAATATAATTCGTGCAACTGTTTGAACAAATAATCACCTAAAATAAATGCAACGATTAAAAATCTTTCTATAATAGAATTTATGGGAATGTTGTAATCACTATAGTGATTTGATCTCAGGAATATACAAAGAATTTGAAGAAGCCACCACATCAGGAATAAGCAAAATCATTTTAAAAATCAAAACATACTTGGGCTCAGAATTACAACATCAATAACAAAAACCATATGTAGAGGACACTTGCCAGCTTTACCAACCAAGCTTAGATAACTCCTTCACCAGTAACCAAACAAAATAACAACAAATAATCTTCAAGTTAATCCACGCTCCACGAGAAAGCTTTTTCACAAAATTTGGCCAGTGAGGTCAGATTTACAATATGAAAAAAGCAGGGAACCAATAAACTTAACTCAAAAAATCGAGAATTTAGAATGCCATAGGATGTAGATCGCAGAAAAGAAGATTAAATAATAGTCGACCATCCTAAAGACTTTAAACATCAATCAATTAAACATCCACTTTTGTAACAACAACATTAATTATACTAATACTAAATTCGAATATAATACTGACATCAACAACAATAATAATGATATGTATTACCGTCTAGATTATTCCTAATAGATGGTTATAATATTCTATTCCAGTTACTTGTAACTATTTTATTTATAATAGGTAACAAAACACATCTCGTATTTAAATAATAAATAAATAAACAGTTGCAGGGTGTTACCAACACTGTTTAAAAATAAAATAATTCAAAGAACATTCGATTCGTTAAAGAATTGTCAAAATTACATCATTAATATAAATTGTGAAAATAAGTCATTCTAGAATCATTAATAGGTCATTACTAATATAAACATTATCAATTACAAGTGACAGATAATTAATTTAGGTCGCGGATAAGTTCCGAGCTCAAGTTATTCGTAAAAAATCAGTAATCACGGAAACCAATTAATATACTTTCTTAAAGTTATTCTTTATATTATGTGTTTGAAATTTATATTTTTGGAACTGAAGCCATTTTTTTATTTGTATGATTAATAGTTTGCATAAATCGAACTTTTTTTCGGAATATTTTGAATCACCAGTCCTTTTTTATTGTTGCTTTAATTTCATTAGATTGACTATTAAACGATTACGGAGCATGAAGGTGGTGGTAGAATAAAAAATAATTAATTTGTCAAAAAGTTTTTCTTCTTCTATAAACGATCCTCACTAAATATTATTTTAGTAAATAAAAGCAGGATGAAAATGATATTTTATTGGCATTCCGAAACAATAACAACTGAATTTTCTCGAAAATTATTCGTATTAATATGCAGTCATACACAGGGATTCCATATTTGTAAAACAGATGAGTAAAGGGTAGTAGATCCACAACGTTAATTAATATTAATTAAAGTATGAAAAACATCCGGTATTTACATAATGTTTTTTAAGAAATAAAAACTTTAATGTCTATTTCCAAATATAAATGATTTTATATTCATAATCTTTGTATTGATTGATATTGATATTAACATTAGTATATACTATCCGAAATTATTTATTTATTTTATATTAATATCAATCAATATAATTAATTTCATATTCTGTGTAACTTAAAATTAAATTAAAATTGATTATTTTCTTTCGTTCAAGGTTTTTCCCATTCGTATAATTTGATTTTGTGTTTATGCATATGTTATTATATGTTATTATTATCACGTTAATTTAAAAATAAAGAATTGGTTTGTGCGTGAACAATTATTGACGTGAGAAATTGTTTTATTGTTTTTGGATATTTATTTAATAATTGTCAAATTATTTATTTTTAAACTGTCGTATTTTATTTTAAAAAGACACAATTTCACCATTATCTCCACAAAATATCAATCTAAATTCCCCGATTGATTAATGATGAAAAAGCATATTAATTTGCGATTCACACAATTCACAAAATAATAATACGTCGATATTACTCGCATTTTAATATTCTACACAAATAATTTAAAATAAAACAAACCCTGAATGAGATGGACACCAAGAAAAAACATCACCTTATGCATATAACGTCAAAATCCCACGGATGGTACACAAGGAAAAAAAATCTATACAGCATGATTTATTATATGAAGTTGATAATTTTAACTTATACCAGGTTTCTTCTTCATATCATTTATAGTGACACACAAAATTATCGCGTTTAAATGGATTTCAATCTAAAAATAATATAATATCACTTCCAATAATTGGTATCATCTTATAATGTAATAAATATAATAAATAATAAGATTGTATTATAGAATAATTAGACAATATATAATAATATTAAAAATAAATAAAAAAATTTTTTTTATAAAAGTATAAATTTTCCAAAAAAAATTTTTCCAACATTTTTTTTTTATTTTATTTTAAATTAATGTTTTTATTTATTTATTTATTATTTTATTATTAAGTTAAAACTGGTTTTATCTTGTTTCTCTTTCATATTCGGCTTTACTATATTTATAACGTAAAAAAGAAAAGTTGGAGTTTTTTTTTCAACTCATATCAAAAATCAATAATTGTTTGTCGATATTTATTTTATTCCTTTCACTTTCACTCTTTTATATCTATTTTATATCTATTGATTATTGATAAATTTTCATTTTTTCGTTTTAAACGTCCTTTATATTAAAAAGAAAAAAAGACAAAGAAAAAAAAAAGGAAAAAAAAAAAAAAAAGAAAAAATTTTTCTTACTCACTCCTCTAATTAAATATTATCATCGTTATCACCAATAACAGTCTCTATCATTATTGATATCGATTTTCTCTTCTTTTTCGTGTAGCAATATACTTTAAACCTTCCGTTTACAAGTATATATTATACCAACAGCGTGAACATGAATGCTTCTACGTCAATAATATCATCATCATCATCAAAAGAAATTATTGTTGGTAACAAACGTTCATCTGATAATGACAATGATAACCAACAACCGCCCATAAAAGAAAAGAAAGCTAAAACAATTGCATGTGATAGATGTAGACGTCGAAAAGTATGTTTATTATTATAAAATTTTTTTTCATGGCGTTTTTGATGTCAATCACGCATATTTGCATCATGCTGATCTTCTTAAATATTCGGTTAAAATTATTAAATAAAACAGGTCAAGTGCCATGGGAACGGTTATACCAAGGCTCCATGTCAATATTGCGTTTCAGTAAAATTAGAATGTACCTATGGAACAAAAATTATTCGTAAATCATCAAGTAATTCTGTCACAAAATCTATCGGATCCAACAATAAATGGTCTTCTAGAATCTCACCTACATCACCAATATCAGCGGCGTCTACAAGCAATAAAGTAGTTCGTGGTAGAAGATCAAGTCCAAGACCAAAAAAATCACCTTCCTCATCACCAATCAATAATAATGATGTTGCTGTTCCATTATTGCCAGGAAAAAATATCCCTAACAGTAATTTTAGTGGTAATAAAAGATCAATAAAAGTGGTTTGTCAAATACTTCCATTTACAGAAGTATTAAAAAATGATTTAGAATATTCTATAAAGTTACTTTCATCGGTTATCTTACAAAATGAATCAGATGTTCGTCTTCAACTTGACGCTCATATAAATATTCCAATTGACGAATTTGCCGAATCTAATACAACAACTTCTCAAAATATTTTAGCACATTATGATTCCACCACTTTATTGAGCAATCGTGAACTAATTAATAACCTAGTCGATTTGTATTTTACCAATTTTCATCCGATGCTTCCAGTGTTACATAAGTCCTTCTTTTACGAAACATTTAACGATAAAAACAAATCGATTTCTCCTTTGTTGTTAAGTGCAATCTGTTCAATTGGCTCCAGGTATTCTAATAATGATGGATTCACAACTACAACAGCAAAGAAACAATCCGGAAAATTCAATACAATTGGTTTGGATTTTTACAAAAACGCTCAAAGTATTTATTTATTCTTTATAACCATCTAAAAAAAATAAGTTTTAAAAAAAATTTAGCTAAAAGGATTTTTATAAATCTATCTTTTTTTTAAAAATAATAGATATGATAAATCAATATCTTGATGTCTCTAGACTTAGCACTGCGACGGCCATTTTTCTAATGGGAGCTTTTGATGCATCGCGTAATCTTCGAAGTAGGATTTACTTGGGAATGGCTACAACATTCTCTATAACAATGAAATTGCATGATAAAAATGCGTTGGAAAATTTATCAAATAATAAAAAAGAAGCAAGAATGCGCGTATGTTTTATACATATTTATATTATTAATAAATTTACCAACCAACTAATTATTTGTTTTGCTCTTTTTTTTTTTTTTTAGTTATGGTGGTCAATTTCGTTGTTCAACCATTTACAAAGCTTAACGTTTAACAATACAATGTTGGGATTAGATGATAAGCATAGCTCAATTGAATATCCAAACCCCAGCATTGAGAACAATGAGAAAGAATCTAGGATTATTGAATACTTTGTTAATTATGTAAAAATTACAAAAATATTGTATGAAATTCTTGAATTTTCGTTAAGTGAGGAAAAAGATATTGGTAATAATAATAAAAGTGGTAGTAGCAACTACAATAACAACAACAATAGCAGCATCGTTGACCATAACAAAATTTTCTATTTGGATGAAAAATTAAAAGATTGGAAAAAAAATTTACCAAATTATTTACAGATAAGAATTATCAAGCAACCTATCATGATCACCAAAGAAATAACAATAGAATATTTAGAAGTGTATTTATGCATTGTTTTCAATTACGCAATTATTAGATTACATCATACAAACATATATTCAACAGATAGTTTGCTTAAATGTATAGACGCAGCTAATGAAATCATTGAATTGGTAAACAATAATAGAAATGTTATTTCCATGATGATGAACTGTGAGCAATTTATTAGTCATTGCATTTTTTATTCTGGATTAATTAATTTGTTCGTTACGAAAAAAAATAATGACGACCAACAAGCAATTGAAGCAAGAAATAATGTAAAGAAAGTGATAGAAATTTTTACAAGTTTTCTTGAAATTCCTTCTTTAAATTACCTTTATTCAAATATCATTATAACAATTTCATTATTTGCAACTCAAATCTCTGACACTCAAAAAATCAATGAAATAAAATTTTTTATTAATAATAACTATAATAACAATAATAACAACAATAGTTTTGTTTATAATTATAATAATAGTAATAGTAATAGTAATAATATTGACTCACAGCCACACCAACAAAAATCGATTGTAAAATTACAACAATATTCTAATTCTACAAATAGTAATTTACCTTGGATCCAACAACAACAACAACAATCGCCGACATCAACAATTGAAAATTCAAATGTTGCTAAATTAGAAACAATTGATAGTAAGAATAAAAATAATAATAATAACAATAATAATAATGGTAGTAGTAGTAGTGTCACTAATAATAGTAATTTAATGCAAGGAATGAATTTTTCTACTTCCACCTCCGCACAACATCAACAATCTCCACAAAATAATTCTAATCGACAACGTCAAAAATCTAGATCCTCAAGCAAAAACAACAACCTGTCATATCCAACCACTCCTAGTCCATCACAAAATTATACTCTATTTATTAATAATAATAATAATAATAATAATAATAATAATAATAATAATACCACCAGTAATAATAATAATAATAATAATAATAATAATAATAACAACAACAACAACAACAGTACAACTATCACTGGTGCTGCTGCTCTTACTTCTAATACATCTACTACCTCATTGAATCCATCAACACTTATTACCACACCCACTAATAACAACTTGGCACAAATTTCCATTAATAGCAGTGGTGTTACTAATAGGCCATTACCACCAATCATAAATTCTAGTTCACAAGCACCATCTTCAGCAACCTCTACCAATCAAGCAGCTTTACAACTTCCATATCATCAACAACAACCACAATTACAACAACAACATTTACAGCAACATTTACAGCAACAGCAACAACATTCACTTCCACCAATGTCATATCATCAACAATTCCATCATCAGTACTCTCCTCCTCCCCCACACCCTTATCATTATTCTCATCAATATTCACAACAATATCCAAATCATTCAATTCATCCAAGACAGTATTATTTAGCATCTAATAACACAAGTCCACCAACTATCACAACTGCTTCTGCTACTGCTGCTAATAAAAGCAATAGTAGCAGTAGCAATCCCACAACTTCACCTAATCTTGGTAGTGGAACAAGTAGCATATCTTCAATAACAAATCTTACATCAATAAATAGTAGCAATAGCAGTAATAATAATAACAACAACAATAACAATAATTCAATTGGTGCTTTAATGGGAAGTCACAATGAAATTCCAATTTCAAATATAAATAATTTAACAGGAATTGGTCAACAACATCATTATAATTCAAATAATAATCATAATAACAATAACAATAAGTATTCTTTTTTTGAATAGCCTCTTTCCTAGAAGTTTCAACAGCAGTTTTTTGGTAATGGCATTTTGGAACTCTTCGACTAATGATCGACATATTACGTAATTTCTTTGGTTATTTTGGAACAATGCAAAAAATAAACTTTTTTGTACACAAAATAACGGAAAATCCAATCAATATTTGCAGATAATAAATGATAATTTTAGTTGACAATGTAAAATATTTTTTGCAAGATATCGCCTATCTTGTTCATTAGCTAATTAATTATTCATTCATATTTATATATTCATTTATAATCATTACATGTTTCCTTTAAAATCATTTATTTTAAAAAATATTATTAATTTTAATCTTTAATTTTTAATTTAGTATTTAGTTAGTAATTGGCAATTTAATAATCAATTGGTAATCTGGCAACTTAATTTAATAACTTAATATTTAATAACTTGATAATGTTTTAATTGAATTTTATTTTAATCTTAATAGTGTATATATTTTTTATGGTTTTTAGCATAAGCATTTAATTTCAATCTTAATTAAGATCTGATTAATTTCAGTCCATCAATCAAATTTTTATTCTTAAGGTCTTAAGTAATATATGATTTTTTTTGTAAATTTTTACTTTTATTTTTATTGGTGAATAAAAAATTTTCCATTGTTAAATTATAGTAATAATATAACAATTGTATTACCTATCATTCAAAATTTAAGTTTTTCATTGTTTGTAATTTTTTCTCAGAGAAAAAAAACAAACTTTCATTGTTTGTAAATCCCATTGTTACATTGTTTCCATTGTTTGTTTTTCCTAATAAACAAAACAATAGCATGTGACTTTGTGTTAAGGGAGAGTATGTTACAAGTGTGAATCGATCGGGAATTAATAAAAAAAAATTTTTATTTTTCTTGATAAAAATGTAAATTTTCGAAAAAGTTCCAAATTTGAAAATATTATGAATATTTGCACAAATATGAATTTCACAACATGATATGGATATTAACGGTACACAACTAAAGAAACTTTATTATCATCAGTGTTACATGGTGATACAATCAATACCGACCTACACAAATTATTTATTATTTGTGTTTTTTTTATTGACCACTAAAAAAATCTTACACAAAACACACCAATGCTAATATTTTTAAAATTTATTTGTTTTATTTGTTGTCGTTTAAATTAAATGCTGTGTCAAATCATTTGATATCTGGGAAGAAATATTTATAAATGAGATTCCCATTTGATAAAAAAACATAAATAATGTTGTGAAACTGCTTGATTCGTAATTATCCTTTATCCATTCAAAATTAAAAGTGAAGCTGATGATTATGATAATGATGATACTAAATCTATCGTATTACGCATTACAATGTGTATATATTAATTCAAATTTAGAAAAAAATTAAAGAAGGATCTTCTTCATATCCAATAATATAATCATATTAATAAAATTTCACTGGTTGGTAATCAGTTTACAAAAAAAATTGAAATTATTCTATTTACTTAAACTTGATTAGTTAATAATAATATAATTAAATGAAATTTCTTGGATAAGGGGGATAACTCCCGTATTTATTTTAAGGGAAAGTATTATTTACTTCTATGTCCATATATGTTTTAATAATGAATGTACCGCGCATTTTAATATTGTAACGTGACGAGATGTACTATTAAATTTATTTTACTTTGCCAAATGGGTTTACCCCGATTATATTATATTACCTTATGTAATAATTTCAGGGCTGGATGGCGTTCATAAATGTCATAATAACATAATAATACATTATAAAATAATAATGAATGGCCTGATCACTACTTAATTAAATAAATATGTTGATTTTGATAAAGAACAAAGAATGTATGAACAATATTTATATTTTTATTGATTGTGACTTCTTTTTCTCAAGCTTTCGGATCTAATTTACGCGTCGCCAAAATCTAGTTATTGTTTTACTTAATTAGAATATATTTATTTGTTCCACCTTCATATTAATAATTAAATATTTATTCATAATAATGAATTGTTTAATTTGTAATCCATTTCGTTATTTAAATAGCAACAATTGCCTATTAATATACTTATGAAATTTTTGTGTTCATTACGCGTTAATGAAAGCAAGCTTCGGTAATTTCCGTAAGAGCGTTGCTAATGTGATGATATTTCCGTAGATGTTTATATGTTACTTTGATTTGTATGCGGTTACTATTAATATTATTAGTGCTTACTATTGCAAAATATACTGTTTTAATATCTCTTATTATTAACTGTGACTAATAATAATACTATTATTATCATTACATTCTATTCAAGTTTCAAACTTGAATTTATCAATTACGCTTATTGGTTTCTATTTGAATGACTCAGAGAATATATGTTCCTCTATTGCATGCCGTAAATTAGCCTTAAAATCAATTTAGAAATTCTTTTTTGATATTTGTTTTTTTCTTTCAAAGAATTCTTAAATAATAAACACAAAGCTTTTACGTGTAAGTCATTAATTTGCCTAATAAGAATAATTTACGTGAATATGTATATAATGGAAAAGAGAGGGAAAAAACAACAGGTTTTTTAGTTCCCTTTTTATCGCTTTTGTTGTCGCTGTCACCTTCGTCTTGTTTACTCTCAAGTTGGAACCTTTCGGCAACTCATAGAATTCATAGAATTCATATACTTCCAAATCAATATTTATTTTTTTAAGGAAATTTATGAAATAACAAACGAAGAACCAATTATAATTACGTTTTTTTTTTTTTTTTTTAGTTGCTTCGACTTGGAATAAAATAAATCAATATATATAAATAAATCAAATTGGCTTCGCGTCAAAATTTATAATTATTAAAAATTATTTTTCTAAATTAAACAAGAAAAAGAAAAACAAAGAAACAAGTTTGTACATATTTATTTGACTTATTTGCATAAAAAAAAAAACTCCCCCCACGACTTTGTATAAGAATGGAAGGTTATTTAAGAAGAAAAAAAATAATACTTTTTTGGTTTTTCTTTCATTTGATATTTATATATATTATATAAATTCAGGCTAAAAATTTCGTTCAATACATAATAGTAGTAATTGATAAAAATTTTCTTCAAAAGAAATGGTGGCTTCGGAAAATGTTTCTGGAAACACTTTATTTTCCTTTTTTCATTACTCTTCTTAGCTTTTTTTTCTTGCATGTAAAATAAAGTTATATTAATTTATAGTCATGTATATAATCGATAAAATATTGCTGATTTTGTTAAAAAATGCTTCCCAAAACATATAACAAAAACGAAAAATTTACTGTAATAGTAGTATTCTCTAACACGGGTTTACTAATTGTTTCATTATTATTATATATTAATTAATATATTCGGGCGGGACAATTATTGATGATAACAGGGTCTACTTTTAGTTATCCGCAAAAAATATCTTTGTAAATATATCCAACCCACCCCTAGTCTATCAATAAAATCGCAGTCGCTAACTTGCTAAACTGCGCAACTGCCGATCTTTATCGATAAGGATCAAATATTTTGTGTACAAATTTTTTTTTTCAAAGGTTCAAAGGGGAAAAATTAAAATGAGTAATTATAACAGTAATTATAGCGGTAATTATAATAGACACAATAGTAGTAGTAGTCATAATAACAATAATAATAATTATTTTCAAATAAATAGCAGAATGTTAACAATAGAATGCTTCGATAATATAGTAAAATATTTGGAGGATGATAGACCAACATTGTTTTCATGTTTATTAGTTAATAGATTCTGGTGCGGGAAAATTATACCAATTATATGGGGGAAGGCATTGAAAAGATTATCGGTAAATCATAAAAATCGAGAACACTTGGTTTTAATCTATTGCTCATGTTTTAATATAAAAGAAAAAGATCAATTAAGGTCTCAACATGAAATATTTGAAATGATCTTGAATAATAATAATTTCAAGAAGCCGTTATTCAATTACCCAGCCTATCTTAAAAAACTTGATTTGTTTCTTTTGCATTGGATTATCAAGCAATTCATGCAAACGTTTGCGACCAAGAATCTATCATCATCATCATCATCATCATCAACAACAACAACGAAAACGAGACCAATGACAGTGAAAGCAACAACAAGAACAACTTCATTATTATCGAGATCTTGTCACAATTCTTTAACTTCTTCTAATTCTAATTTGTCATCATCTACAGAGTTCAATTCATTTTATAATAATCCGGTAGAGTTACTGATGAATTCGTTATGTGTTCTAATAATGGAAAGTTCCAATCTTGAAATATTAAAGTTGAATACTATGCATGAATTGCCAAATTTCATGATCTTTACACAAAAGTCTCCTGGATTAACGAATTTAAAAAAATTAAAAATATCCTGTAACAATTTTTATATTAGGAATCAATTTATTAAAAATAACGTATTTCAACTACTCAAATCTTTACCTAAAATTAGTAACAATATTGAATTTTTAGATATTCATTACAAGTCAAATGATCCCAAGACATTAGAAATATTGAATGCATTCATCAGGTCACAGAAAAATATTCATACTTTCAAGCTGAGTGTGTTGAGAGATTACGATAAATTATCATCAATCATTTCTTCGTTGGAGGAAAGTCATACAAATAATCTAGTTAATCTTAAAATTAAATTATTAAATAACAACCATATTAATGATGGTGGTAGTAATAATAATATTTATAACTATAAAGAAGGGAATGATAATAAAAATAAACTTAAAAATTATCATCAGATCGACGATCAATTATTAAATCTAATATGCAAATCCAAGAAATTAAAAACTTTAAATTTTAAATCAGAGTTTACTAATAACAATAATATTGGTAATAATATCAGTAGCAGTAATATCAGTAGTAGTAGCAACTATTATAATTATTATGTTCATGATAATTATAAAAAAATATTATCATTATACGAAAACAAAATCAATTCAATAATTTTGGGAAACAAAGATTTAAATTTCTCTAAATTATTGTTAAAATACTTGGGCAATAATTTAAAATATTTAAATATTACATCTTCAATGTTAAATCTTGATATTGTAAATACCATAATATCGAGTTGTAATAGTCTAATTTATTTAGATATGAAGTTTGATAATGGTGATGATGATAATTATAATTATATTGATGACTTAACAAATCTTAATGATTTCGTTAGTAGATTCAGAAGCAACAATAACAACAACAACAACAACAACAACAACAACAACAACAACAATAACGTGATTGGTGATGGTGGTGAATCAAAATTAAATTATTTTCTTAATTTAATCGAAAAATTAAATTTAAAATATTTGGGAATAAAATTTTCATTCAAGAATAATATTAATAGTAATAACATTGGTAATAATATTAATATTAGCAATAATAGTAATAATAATAGTAACAATAACAACAACAATAATATTGATAGTAATGGTAGTGATTTGTCTTCTTCAGATTATATAATCCAAAGGTATTTAAAGTTAATCACAAACTATTTACCCAACACTTTAGATTATTTATATTTGGGTAATAAAATAGATTACTTTACATTGAATTATTTATTAAAAAATTCAAAATTAACAAATCTAATTAAAATTTCATTATTTTATAATAATTTTTTTATGATTGATGATAATTTTTTTAAAATTTTTCTAAATTATTATAAAGAAAAAAATAACAATTTCAAATATTTATATTTACCAATTAATTATCATACCTTTACTAATAATAATAATAGTGACGATGTTGATAATGTTTTAAATGAGTTAAAAAATTGTGTTAAAATAATTGAAACTTCTAAACCTATTAAAGCTTTAGATTTAATTTAAAATTTAATAAACATAAAATTTTTTTTTTTACAAATCTAATTATTAATTAGATATATACAACATATATTGTTTGTTATCCGATTAACAATCAAATTAATAATTACCTGAAACCAACCAGTTAATAATTAGACAAATAAATAAACATTTAAAATCTAATACATCGCTCTCACCGATTAGTAACTAATTAATAATTACCTGTATAATCGATTAATTAAACTTATTAAATAGTTTGGAAGTTTATTACTAGTTTTCTTTTTTTGATAAAATATTAGAATGATTATAATGATTATAATCTTTTAATATACTAAATTGTATATTTTTGACAATCTTGTATCTCCCAATTCTCATAGTATTAACAACTCTATACAAATTTTCAAATTTTCATCAATTAAATAATCTTCAATTTGATAATTTCTGGTTTCACTAATACAACCTAAACCTTCTTTAATTTATCAGTGTTATTTAATAAATTTCAATAAATATTTTGTCCAATTATTAGTAGGGTTACAAGTAATTTCAACTTGGATATTGGGATTTTCCATTATGACTTGCCGTAAATCTTAGCTACCATAATCTGAAAAAAAAGCAATTTTGAGTGGATTAGGGATTATACTCGCTTTGCATTTTTCATAGTAAATTCCTTGAAATGCCGAAATTACTCTTCTTAATATTATAATTAATTAGTGTTACGATCCGTTAAAACCTTGTAATTAGCAGATTACCGAGTTAACGTTAAGAAATATTGCATAACGGGTTGTTAACGAATTATAGTTAGCCTATTATTAGTAGTAATAGTAATAGGATTTGGTGTTACAATTCGTCAAATACGTTAATATTAACAATCTGCAACATCCAACACATCTATACCAAGTGAAAGACTTTTTTCAAATGCTAATAATTTATTAACATGCAATAAAAACACGAATGAAACCTGATTTTTATGTTCTTAAAAAAATAAATAAATCACAAATTGAAACAATTCATCCTCCAAATCAAATAAATAAATATTTTATTATTTTAAATTCTAACAAATAAATGTTTTTATACAATAATATTTACTATTGACCTGTTACCAATCCGGATGAAAAAAAGTCCTTAATATTAATTAATATTAATGGATTCTTAACAGGTCCATAATAACAATAATAACGCCAATCCGTTAACAATCCGGAATTATATCCAAAATTATTTCAAATTAAAACCGAAATGATTGCTGTAATTAAAAAAAATTTTCGGCAAACAACCATATACACTATACACATAATAATAATATAACCTAAAAAGGAATATTAGTTACATATTTAATAAAGACGATATATGATGGCCCTGCAATATATCGTCGTGATGATAAAAAAATATTGCTTGGATCGGGATCTGTAAGCTTTTAAAACCATATAAATATCAATATTCTTTCTAATTTTGAACGTAACACGTGATTGGGCTTAACAAATAAATTAATAAAAAGATATTTTATCCAAATTCCACTGTAAATTGGATAATATAAAATGTATTGGGTCGTTGTCAAAAGGTGTGCAAGAAAACATTGGGATTATATCTGGAAAGGTTCACAAGAAAATATAGGCTTTGACTCTATATAATTGAAACAAATAATAAAGTTCCAGTAAAATATATAGTTGATGAAACTTATTGCATGACAAAATTCATATCAGTCGAACGATCGTATTTTTTGGTGATCAACGTCGAATTTCTATTAATAAAATTAGCCACAAACCTTAATTTTTGTTCAACAATCCCACCAAATTTGACACTGATTTTTCATCATGACTCAGGCTTCAAAACTTATCAGCTAGTTTTTCTTAAACTAAAAATTGGCAGAGCCTTAGTATTTTGAAAATTCCAAATTTGTTATTATTATATGCTTAAGAAATTAAGTAAATTTCGAATATTTTTTACAACATCATATATTGATTTATTTTATTATTTATTTTCTTTTTTTTATTAATAATAAAAGCTCTTTACAATAAAAAAGTTCAACAAACATATTACACAGTGAGTCTCAATTTAATGGACATGTTTGTTACAGAATCCGCAAAAGTGAACAAATCATGTGTTATAAATTAAAAATATGTACAAAAAAAATTTTTTTTTATTTAATAAAAAAAAAAAAACAAAAAAAAAAAATATAACAATAATATTGATATCATTATTGATTCATAAATTCACCAATTTGACATTGTTTTGCTTCTTGGGTACTTCTATAAGAAATTTCTCTTTTTAATATAGATGAGTGTCTAAATTGTTTTTGGGATTGTCTAAAGTCAAAATAGTATTTAGACAAAAATGTCTAAATGTCTAAATTAATATAAATAGTAATGATCTGCTTTAAATACTAAAAGTCACGTGTATATACACAAAATCCACAAAGTTCAGTAAATTATCCAATAGAAAATTCAGTGGCAGGTCACAGTTTTGGGTAGTGGGTCACACCACTATCCATGACTGAATCAAACATTGTACGATTAACCCGTTCCAAGAATGGCATGATCATCATAAAATGTTTGGTCAGACCTCACTCAGCATAAAAAAAAAAAAAAAACATATTTAAAAACTATTATCACTAGAAAGAAAACAAACCACAATAAATTAATAAAGTTATATAATGCAAAAAAGAGACGAATCCGTACGTAAAATATTTAATGAACTTTACAGTAACACATTAGTTAACTCTGACGAAGAAAGTAGAAAAGATTATTTTTTTTCGTTAGTCAAAAAAAACAATGAGCTTTCTAAAAACGAAAAAGAATATTGTAAAAAAAAATTTATTTATGGGTTTGAATTGAATAAAGCAAGGAATAAAAAAGGCAAACCAAAAGAATGTAATAAGTGTAAATTGCCAAGATACTCTGATAGATTCTGTGAGGGTTGTATTAATTTACAATTATGGAGTCTTTTCACCACTTGGACATCGGAAAATGAAATAATTGATGATTTTATTCAAAAATGTCAAATGACATCATCTCTGCCAAATCATATTTTAGAATGGATACCTTTTGAGCAATTTATAAAAGTAACAAAATTGACAGAAGGTGGATTTAGTTCAATTTATACTGCAGTATGGACAAGAGGTTATATAATCAATTATGATGAAAATAAAAAAGAATTTACTCGTTTTGGAAAGCAAGATATAGTATTAAAAAGTTTAAATAACTCAAGTAATCCAGGAAAAGGCTTTTTTGATGAGGTTGGTAGTTGTTATTTAAAGCAAAATAATATATATTACTAATTGATTTTATATTTATTAATTGATGTTATATTTATTTCAGGCAATTAATTGTTGTAAAATTAAGTCAAATTTAATTGTTACTTACTATGGTATAACTAAATTCCAAGATGATGGAAATTATGCAATGGTTTTAAATTATGTGCCAGAAGGAAATTTAAGGGATTATTTACAAAAAAATTATTTAAATTTAACATTAAAAGACAGAATTACAATCCTTAGGTATTTATGTGATGCATTAAATGACATACATGAAAAAGATTTAATCCATTGCGATTTACATAGTGGTAATATACTTGTAGAAGGAGGTAGTTGTTATATTACTGATTTGGGATTATGTGGACCAGTTGATGAAAAGTCATCTGATAAAATTTATGGAATTGTATCATATGTTGCACCTGAGCTACTTAGAGGCAATAGCACAAAAAACACAAAAGAAACTGATACCTATAGTGTTGGGATGTTAATGTGGGAAATATTTGCAGGCCATCCACCATTTGATGATAGAGCTCATAGTCATCGTTTGATTTTTGATATATGTGAAGGCTTAAGACCACCAATATTACCTGGAATGCCTGAAGATTATGCACAAATGATGCAAAAGTGTTGGGATGTGGATCCATTAAAGAGACCAACTATCGGGGAGCTTTGGGAATTTGCTGTTAATAAACACAAAGAAATTCTTAAAAATAAAAGTTTCCATAATAATAATAATTTAGTGAAAAAATTATTCAAATTTTCTAAAGTTAAAAAACATGAATTCGATTTTAATAATGGTGGTGGTGGTGGTGGTGGTGGTTCACAACAAGCACAACGAGTACATCCAGATGCATATCATACAAGTAGAATATTAGATGAGGAAATTGTTAAATCAAAAAGCTTTAGAAGTTATACAAGTAACGATAGCTCATTGAATAGTCTGGATTTTAACTCTTTTTTGGAACCAGTCAGAAAAGCTCTAACCGATTAAAAACCGGTTAAGTATATAAAAAAAAATTTTTTTAAAATATTTATTTAAGTGGGGTTTAATAAAAAATCACACAACTATATAATTATGTTGTCATTTGATAAAGATTTCTTTTAATAATGAACAATTTTTATGCCTGCTCATTATGAATCAACTTTTATATTATCTTTCAATAAACTATAATAATGTTAATAACACTAAAGCAAATAAATTTATGATAATTATGATGACAATAAATTATAATTACAAAGATTTCAATAGGTAACAAATCAATTTAGTTGTGTTTCACTTTTACTCGCCATTCTTGCATTTAGAATGTGGTTTCATTTCACCTACTGAAACAATTAAAGTGGGACGTTTTGTTATTTTAACTAGTGTTGATTTCCAAAACTGAAAATTGCGAAAGTCAAAAGGTTTCGCCATAAGTCGAAACCGGTTAATGGAATACTTTAACCAGTTAACTGTCTAACCGGGTTCCAACCTCTATTTTTTGTTAACGAAGGTGAATACAAAGTTCATTAACAAATTATTAATTGCTAACTTATTAATTGATAAACATTAGATTCTAGTAATAATAGCAAAAAAAAGGTCGAGGTTAAGACTCGAAAAATTGAAGTATACATGTCGTCAAATTAAATTGTGTTAAAAATTTTGGGCGGGATATAAAAATTCTGATTGGCTAATTTTGAATTTTCAAATATTAACAAGAATTACCCCAAGACCAGAACGTTTACTAATCATTGACACATAAAAAACAATTATTAGTTTGAGCGAAGGAATAAGAACAGGTAA